CAATTTTTTTAAAAAAAAAAAAAAAAAAACTCCCGGGCTCCCAGTCCTTTTTGGCCTTTTTGCGCCCTTTAACCCCGGGGGGTTTTCAGCCCCCCCCCCCTTTAAAGGTCCTGGGGGGACAAAAAGGGGCTTTTGAAGGCCGGGCTTTTTTTTTTTTCATCACCCCCCTCCCCCTTAAAAGGCCCCCCGGGGCCGCCCCCCCCCCCCCCCCGCAATGGAAAGGGTCAGCGGGGCCCCCCCACACCCCTGAGCAGGTGGAGCAGGCCGGGTGCAGGTGAGCAGCCTCTCATTGTCCTTGGAGCCCCCGGCTTACAGAGGGGAAGATGGGAAGCGGGTAATCGCTCTCCCTGGTGATCGGTACTGGACATCACGGACGACGCACTTCCTTGTCAGAGCAATTAGAATGGGGGGGGGGATCGGTCGATGCCTTAAACCCACCAGGGAGGGGACTGGGCCACTTCAGAGGCAGAAGTCCAGGCACAGGCATGTTAACGGCGTCCGAGTGGCTTAATTGAAAATAGATTGCGCGCACCCGAGGGACGGGCCGCGTGGCGCCGGCCCCTGCATCGCCTCGCTGATCCGTGTGTGTGTGTGTGTGTGTGTGTGTGTGTGATCCGTGTATGTGTGTGATCCGTGTGTGTATGTGTGTGTATGTGTGTGTATGTGTGATCCGTGTGAGTGTGTGTGATCCGTGTGTGTGTATGTGTGATCCGTGTGAGTGTGTGTGATCCGTGTGTGGGATCCGTGTGTGTATGTGTGATCCATGTGAGAGAGTGTGTGATCTGTGTGTGTGATCCGTGTGTGTGATCCGTGTATGTGTGTGATCCGTGTGTGCGATCCGTGTGTGTGTGTGTGTGTGTGTGTGTGTGTAGAGCTGCATCCCATACACACAGGTGCAGCCGCCATTGTCTTCTGTGACCCCCCGTCCCCCCCCCCTGCGGCTGGTGTGTCACCTGGCGTCACTATCATCCGTGGGAACCCTGGGGAGGGGACGGTCACAGGTTTGCCAGGTAAAACCTAGAATTTGAGGGACAAAGGGGAGGCTCCTCTTCCGCTGTGATGCGCACGTCGGCCACTGGAGGGCAGCGTCTCACAGGAATCCGGCCAGAGTGGCTTCCCCGGCCCGGGCTCCAGTCCCAGGTTCACAATGACCTACAGCAGCGGTTCTCAACCTCCTGGCCCTTTCAATACAGTTCCTCACGTGGTGACCCCCAACCATAAAGTTATTTTCGTGGCCACTTCA